GTATGGTCTCTCTTTTCCCTCGTTCAAAGAGCATATATTACTTACACAATAATAAGTTAAATGATCAACGACGGAAAAGGAAGAAAATAAAGAGTAGCGAGTTTCTAAAGAGCCTGGCCAAGAATAAAGTGACCGTATATTGACAAAGTACGCTGAGTCAGAAGTCCCCAGAAGCGCTTTCCCCGTGCGCGTGTGCTCCAGGCAGTCAGGGCTCTCCGCCGCACGGAGCCGCCAGTTCCTCAGGCACTGCCGAGGCCAGCCCAGGCAGCGCGCGGGTCCTGACAGGGGGCGGGGCACGGCAGCCCGGAAGAGACGCTGCGCTGCGCATGCCCTTTCCTTTCCAGCTCCGGCCCCGGACGCAACAGCCGTCGCGGTGAGTTTCTCTGGAGTCCGGGTTCCATCGGCCCCCATCCTGGCTCTCTCGCCGCCGTAGTCGCCTTGCTTTCCCGGGGTTGGCGCGAGAGGTCCCTCTCCTGCTCCTCGCACGCTCATTTCTGAGCAATGAGAGGGGCCAGGGGTTCGCTTCACGGGGAAGTGGGGTGCTGGCAGGCGAAGATTGGCGTCCTGATAGCGGAGGGCCTAGAAGGGGAGGATGAAGCCCTTGCGTGGTGGGGACTAACCGACCGAGGCTACGGAGACTGCGCCCCTCTTGCAAGCTTTTCCTTCGGAGCAGACCTCCACCCCGAGCTGCCTCCTTGCCTGGCCATGGAGCTCTAGTTTGGAGGAAGAGTAGAAGGGGATGAGGCTGCGAAGGCCTTAGCCTTCTGGTTTGGGGTCGGCGGCCTGTCCTGAATTGAGAGCTTTCCTCTGGGTCCTCCCCGCGCACCTGAAACTACCGCCGCGCCGTTCCTCGCTAGGTAGAGTTTATGGTCCCCAGTTACTCCTACAGGGTCTGCGCCTTTTATGTCTTTGTGGTTGTGAGAGTGAAAGTCTGGAGCGAGTATGCACCCCAGCCCCGTTTTGTTTTTAATGTCTAGGGAACTTTTTGCTCACCTGAGTCGTTTTTCGAAGGTGGATTAGGGAGCTAGAAACTATTAGTCTTCAATTTTGCGGAGTTTAAATTCCTGTTGTCCTGTATGTTTTCCACGCTGTATTTCAGATTTCCACCCGTTGGACAATGATTTTGTATGGCCGTTTGGGGGACCAGGAACTAGGTTACTGGTCCCTGGGTACGTTGCTCGAAAGTGCTTTTCCTTCCTGCAGATGTTGATGCCCAAGAAGAACCGTATTGCCATTTATGAACTCCTTTTTAAGGAGGGAGTGATGGTGGCCAAGAAGGATGTCCACATGCCCAAGCACCCCGAACTGGCAGACAAGAACGTGCCCAACCTTCACGTCATGAAGGCCATGCAGGTAGCCGGGGGGCTGCTGGAGTGGGGTGCAGATGGAGGGATTTTCCACTGACGTTCAAGGCAAATTCCAAGGAGAGGTCAGGACAGCCAGAGCTGCTTGCTACCTTGAAGGGAAGTGAGGTAGATACACCTTGAAAACTTGTCTACTGTGCAGTTTAGCGTCCCTTTGCACTAGATTTCTCCCTTGAATCCTTTAATTGGGTCTTAACAGTAGTTTTCTGTCTTAGTCTCTCAAATCACGAGGCTACGTGAAAGAACAGTTTGCCTGGAGACATTTCTATTGGTACCTTACTAACGAGGGTATCCAGTATCTCCGTGATTACCTCCACCTGCCTCCTGAGATCGTACCTGCCACCCTGCGTCGCAGTCGTCCTGAGACTGGCAGGCCACGGCCTAAAGGTATGCTGTCTATACAAGGCCTCTGAGGGCCTGCTCTTAAGTTATTGTTTCAGGGAGGAGGGGTATGCGTGGAATGGTGGGGGTTTTTGTGTAGGATGTGGAGGTGGTCTTGTTAACGCACTATTAATTGCTTTTGAGGGACTCTGGCATGCAGGACCTCAGGTCAAGTCCTAGAACCTTTGTCCCCCGTCATGGGACTTGTAATGGAACTGGACTCTGGTCTGCAGGCCATCCCAGGAGACAGCATTAAATACGGAATATTAGTCTCTGGCCAGATGAATGTGGTGGAGCATTGACTAATTTTTCCAGGAGAGAAGTGCTTATCCCCAAAAAGCCCAGAGCAAAGCTGTTGACCACATGTGAAAGAAAGTTCTTTAGAGTTTCTTGGCAATGGGAGCAAAAATAATCGAAGTTAAAGAGGGGAGGATGGATGTAGAATACATAATAGTGTGAAAGAACATGCTTCTTGGCAGGGGAGGGGATTACCTTCTGATCATTGCTGGCTCATAGTGGTCATTTGTCAAGGTTATGGTTCCCTTTCCATAGGTTCTGAAAAAGCTTGTCCGAGGAACTTTGTAGGAGGAGCAGTTTGTGAGTCTTGAGTGATGAGGTGCAGAAATTCCTAAAAACATGATCATTAGACTGTCCAGGTTCTCTGGAAAGAGACTTCATGCAGCACAGGCATCTGCGTTTTTTTATGACCACTGCCTAGGGGATTCTGGCGGTTAGGTAGCTAGAATTAGCGCAGAGGTTCTTCACTGCATCTTGGAATCACTGAGGGCAGGGGGTGCTGATGCCACTGTTTGTTCCCACACAGATTCTAATTTGCCTTGGGTGGGGCCTCACATTTATTTAGCTACTATCTGCAGGTTCAATCTTATTTCTTCTACTTACAGAAAAAGTTCATATTGTAATAATACGGACCCAGTAATTTCCAGGGTAATATGTAGAGAGAATACTAGATGAACCTTCCAGTGTTTATGAGAATTTTTTTTTAAAGTAGTGTTTAAAATCTGCTTTTCATATCCCACAGCCTATTGAGGTAAAAGAGAAGCCCAAAGGGGAACTAAAGGATTCAGTGACATCTATATATTTATAAAGAGATGGGGCTTGCAACTTAAGATGACTTTTCTGTTTGCACAGGAAGTTTTTCACTTCAGAGATGGGTCATATTTAAAATTTTGGCTATTCATATGTTTGTAGAAATGGCTGGGTTTCTTAATTTGCCAAGCAATTGGGAAATGTGTGTTTATGTTGAGAAATACAGTGCAAGAAAGTAATCTTTTTGCAGATATATGGCATTTTAATTAAGGTGAGTTTTCCTAGGCCTTTGAGGAGCCAGAACATCAATGATGGCAAGTTTCTAGCTGACAGTTCTGAGTGTAGGAGTTCCTGTCCCCATTAACCCATAATAATAAAATTGTTGCCCAGTGAGAATGGAGAGCAGTTCTAGTTTTTTTTTGGCCTGTGTTCATAGTGTGGTTTAATTTGTGTAGGTCTGGAGGGAGAACGACCTGCAAGACTCACACGAGGGGAAGCCGACAGAGACACCTACAGACGAAGTGCTGTGCCCCGTGAGTAATGCATCCTGTGTATTATCCGGGTGTTGGGGTAGGATCTCTGGTTTCAGCCCTCGCTGGGGCTCAGCCCTTGGACATGCCGAGGTGACCAGGAAAGAGCCTTGAGTTTTTGTTTGTTTTTTGGAAAGAGCTTTGATTTTGATCTCACATCGTCTCCAGCTGGAGTCCTTTGTGCTTCTTGCTTTATGCACGAATGGGTACTAGGAGGAAGGCCCTCTGGGGTCACAGAAGACTAGTTGAGAACCTCTAGAGCAAAACTGAAAACTTCTAGGAAAGCAATGTGTTATTTTGTGGTTGTGTTCCTGTGTGATAAGCTGCTTGCGGGCAGGGCACATTCACATCACCTTTGTTGTTTTCTTACTGCAAAAATAGTGCAGAAACTTGCTTTTAAATATTTGCATTGACTGGAACAACAGAGGTGTGTTCAACAAATGTTGAGTGTTAATGGTGTGCCAGACATGATTCTAAGGGCTGGGAGGAGGGGAGTAGTGTACATAAGAGACAACAGGCCCTTCTCTTATTGAACTTGTATTTTGGTAGTAGGAGTGGATAAACAAAAATAAGTATGTATTATGTCCATGGTGTGGGTGCTCCAGGGAAAAATTAAAGTAGGGGTGTGTGTGTGGCAGTTTTCAGTAGGATTTTTCAGGGAAAGTCCTGTGGAAGTGAGATAGGAGCAAACGTGTGAAGGTGGTGAGGCTACCTGGGGGAAGAGCACTCCAGACGAAGGGCCTGTGGGGATGGAACCTGGTTTGTTAAACAGTAGAAGATAGTGGGAGAGTCGGATAAGAATGTAGGTCTCCTGGCTCTGTGGGCTGGGCTAGGGCTTGGGATATTACTCTGGAATGTGATGGGGAGCCATTCAACTTGTATAAAAGAGACTCTCCTTGTTGCAGAAGCAGTTATTGTCACATAAAACCAAGGTGTAAAAGGGAATCTTGACTGACTCCTTGCCTCCTTTGTCATGCCTGATTGATTCTTCATATGTGAAGTAGAAGTGAGCCCTTGACCTAAATACCTTGTATAGGATAGTAAGGATGAATTCCTTCAGTAAACAGGTTCTCAGTTCAGAGAAAGTTAGTAGTTGCTCTTCCTAGAAGTCACACCTTAAGGAGAATTGGTCAGAGAATTATTCTCCAGAGGGTGTGACAGTTGGGCCTTGGGTCTCCAAGTCAGGGGGGTGGGACAGGGAGTGAGCATTTCAGGTGAAAGATTGGTATGGAGATGCAGCAGCTTGCTGGTCAAAAGGGCGAGGTGGGGAGCAGACCAGAGCCTACAGCAGGTATGGTCGGAAATGAGCCAAAGGGAGGCTCCCACTTGAGAGAGATTTCCTGAAGCTATATTCACTGTTAGCCTTGCCCCTGCCACCACCGCCTGTCCCCCAAATGTGAGTCGTAAAATTTCCTAGTGGCCACACTTAAAGCAGACAAAAGTATGTGGGTATTAATTTTTAATCCAATATTTTAAAGTGTTGCCTTAATAATGTAATCCATATAAATGTTAGTGAGATATTTTGCATTCTCTTAAGCTTTGAAATCTGGTAGGTATTTTGCACACATCTCAGTTTGGACTAGTGGCTGCCGTACAGGGCAGAACAGCACTAGATCTTTCATCTTGTTTGCCACTTTGCCATGATCGTGATACAATTGCTTTTTTTGCTTCTGTGGGCCCTTTATCTCTTAGTTCTTCCTTCATTGAGCTCCCTCTGTGAGCTAGGTGAGGGTAGTTTGGAGCCATATAAGAAGGGCACATAATCCAGACTTTGTGGTCAAGGCAGCCTTCCTGGAGGGGCCAACAGTTTGGACTGTGAGTTTTGAAGGGTGACTTAAGGAAGGCTGCCCACAGGAGAGGGAGGAGGCGAATATGGCTCAGAAGATGTTTTCCCACTGCAGGGTGTAATTTACTTGTACTTCATGGGGTATCTTTGCTGACATGGCTTTTTCTGCAAGATTGGATCAGGTGACTTGTCTGCCCTTGTTCTGTAGTAAATTAGATCGTAAGAATCTACGTCGATGTTTCTCATTCCAGCTGGTGCTGACAAGAAAGCCGAGGCCGGGGCCGGGTCAGCAACCGAATTCCAGTTTGTAAGTATCCTCTTTTGCTCTTCATTAGAGTCACTGTTTGGTCCCAGCCCTTGAGGTTGCACATAGAGGGATGCAGTATAGTGTGGGTCTCACCTCTCTTCCCCCTCCCCCCCACCAAAATTCCAAATAGGTTTTTACATTAAGCCACAGTATGCAGACTTCTGTAAATATATATATATAAATTACTGAAGTGAGTCGCACAGATTCTCCATGAGGTATCTGTTTCATTAGTGATCGTAACACCCCTGGATTAGTTTCATGAACCAAAATTTAGGATTGAGAACTGAACACTGGAGATTGAGTGGGCTCTCTACCTCAGGTGGTGTGATCTTGGGCAGGTGCCTATATGTGCCTCAGTTTCCTCATCTATAAAGTAGAGCTGATGGTCTTAGCTATCACAAGGTTATTGTGAGATTAGTTAATCCGGGTAAAGTGCTCAGCACAGGGACGGTGTATCACCATGGGGGTAGCTACTGTCCTGTGGCAGGTCTTCACAGTACATGATTGTTCTCTGAGGTCTTGTTTGTGAAAAGGAGATACGTGTGGCAGGCACAAGATTGTGCCTCGTGCCAGGTGCTTCCATGTGTGTATATACATGAGCTCACTCTTGAGTGGGTGTCCGTATTCCCAGTGAGGAAAACGGGCATAGGAGGTGGATGTGGCCCCATATCCAATAGGAGACAGGGTGGGATTTATGGCCTGGACTCAGCCTTTACATTTGGGGTCCTCTCCAGTGATAATGAGGCTTGTTGCCTGGCATACTGCTAATGTTGACATCATGTGCTTTCTCTTGCAGAGAGGCGGATTTGGTCGTGGACGTGGTCAGCCACCTCAGTAGAGTTGGAAGAGATAGTTTTGTGTTGAATAAACCTGTAGCCAGAAAAGATTAATCTTGTGTGCCCTGTTTGTTTGCATTATGTAGCCTGAACAGAACAGTTTAAGGATAAGAATGTAAATGGAACAAGACTGGATTAGTTTTGGGAGTTGTCCTTATCCAGGGTGACATCACTGATTGCTGTTAGAACTGCAATACTTGGCTTTGACTTAGGCCGTCATTCTTCCAGCACAAGCCTCCCTGTAGAGTCATATCCAGTGTGGTTTCCATTCTGGGAGGTGGTTGGAAAGCTGGGCATCTTCACCAGACCAGCCATGCTGGCTCAGCTCTGCACGGTGGGAAAGTTGCTATTATGTTGGTTCTAGAATGACTAATTTTCAAAGTGCAGGGGTTACAAGAATCAAGGGGGAAAACAATGCACAGGAAGGAACATCTTAAAGGGACTGCCCAGCTGTCTGAAGACCCCTGGGATTTTTATCTTTCCATAATCAGAAGACCACCAGACAATTGAGAGTTCTTGCTGTTCAGGGCTCCTTGAAAAGGGGAAGTGTGCTGTCCAGTTTTCCTGGAGCCTGTCAGTGGTGACCCAGCCTATGGCATGAGTAAATGGACAAGAACAGTATGTCGAGAGTTTCCCCTTTGGGCCAAGTGCCATTTTGGTATAAGTACCAGAGGGGTTTGATGGGACCATTTCTGTGGTCCTGCACTATAAACACCGTATACCTGGCACAGTGCTAGGAAGTGGGCCTTGAAGGAGCAGCCCAATGAACTCAGGCACAAGCCTGCAGGCCGGTTTACTGGGTTGCAGGTCAAACCATGACTGCTGATGGTTGTACATACGCACTTGGTGCTCAGGGGTCAAAGCTTTTGATGGAGCAGCTCGGCTAACCAGCAGGTCCACCGAGCTAAGGAAAACCAGCAAGACAGATAACCAATAGAAGTGGATCTTAAGGCATGTGGGAACTTGGGAATCATGTTTGTGGGATACTATGGGCCAAGCATTGTATGGAAAGGAGTGATAATTAGCCAAGTGAAGTTCATAACAAAAATCCTGATCTGTGCAAGTGGTTTTGAGCTAGTTGTAACTCTTATTTCAGTCCTGACATGCAGTTATAATTTAGGCCACAAGGTGGCAGCCGACAGCAGCCCTGAATGTGCACTTAGTCCTGGGAGGTGAGCTTTGTATTCTGAACCACCAATAAGTAGAAGCTTTCTTTGGCAGAAAGAGGTGGTGTTTGGGGAATGTGTTTCAGAGCGGCCTTGGCTGCCTTGCCAAAGATTGCTTTTTATCCAATTTTTTTCCTGGCTCGAGTGATGTCAAGTGGTTTGCCTGTGTTCGCACGCCTTGTGATTGTTTAACCTGGATTCTACTGTGAAACGTCAGCTCCCAGCCTTTCTGTTTCCCACCAAGGCCAGTGAGCAAATAGATGGGTTTCTTCGATAGCCTTGGTGATTTTCTGGCCCTAAAACGTCGCTTTTTTAGCTAGGGCTTTTTGCCAGCTCTTTCCCTCATGATTTAAATTAGTTCTAGGATGTGTTCTCTAGGATTACCTGGGGACTCGGTAGGCAGTTGAAGGTGGTTCTTGCTGTCTGCTCGCCCCCTCCCCCTGCCTTGGTAGATTGAATAGCCCTTGCCAATCAATAATCATTGATTAGCTGCTCAGGGATCAGTGCTGTTAAGTGCTCTGGGAAACAGAAGGCTCAAAATTTATCTTCAAGGACCTCACTGTCTAGTTAGGAAAACAAAACCAAAGCTATATTTTGAGCATATAATGTCAAATACCGTGTAAGAAGGGAAAGATCCTCCTGCCTCAGCCCGTTCTTCCACCTTGCTTTGTGCTGCCGTTAACTTCCTCACAACCAATGCAGTCCCTCCTTAAGAGGTACCCTGCCTCTAGCTTTGCCCTGATTTCAAGTACTCTGTACACCTGAGCCACTGTTGTTTTTCCGAAACATGTGAATGAGGTACTCATCTTAAAGTCCTTTGAAAATTCCATGTTGCCTTCTAGAGTCTTCTAGAATCTAGACAAATGCCAGAATGCTTGCATGGCCTAACAGGTCCATCACAGTTTCACATCTGCCTACCAACACAAGGTTCCAAATTCCAGAATCCAGCACAATTTATGCTCTTTCTCAGCTTCAGGTCCTTTTTTTTTTGTCATGAGGTGTTCTATACACGGGGAAAGTCTCCCACCATCACCCACTTGGGGCTCTTGTTCATTCTTCAGATCAAGTATCACCTTTCCTGACAGAACTCACCCTACTTCAAATTCTGGTTAGGTGTTCCTCTTCTCTTAGCTTTAGCAGGCCGTGTGGGAACTACTCAGACACTTGTCCATTTTCTGTCTGACACAGCCTCGCTCTGGGGGCCTAGCTCAGTGCCCCACACAGTAGCTCCTTTGTAATTGTTCACTGCATGAATGATGTCCTGGAAGGAGCTATCTCTGGGAAGCTGTCCCTTTCTGTAGAAAGAACACTGATG